ATCTAAGAAGTGTGCACACATGCTATTCTGAACGATTGGTTGATAAGCCCGTTACTAACAAAATATTCTGCAATTTTTATATATTCGCTTGGGATGCTTGGTTGGTGCTCAAAATTCGCCTCAAACCTCATATGTATATAATTATTTAACTTCTTTAACACGGATTTATTAACCATTTATAATGTTTAAAAGAAATATTTTACTTCCTGCAGCGAACATTTTTTCTATCAAATAATAATAGAATAATAGTCGTAAAGTTGATATTGAAATGATATGTTTTAATAGAGCTGCCAAAGCTAGTAGCGAAGCACTGTTGGAATTGTTCAATAAATTGAAAAATTTCAATGAATTCACTTTGGTACGGCACGGCTTACATAAGGCAATTGACTCTACAACAACACCAACAATTGGCAAAAGAAATTGCCGAATTCCTGGAAGATGCAGTTTATATCGAGCATGCTTAGACTTTGAACAGTTTAAATTACCAAGATCTATTTATATTAATATGATGTGTGATCGAGTGCAAAGGGTAATCAAATGGTTTTATTATGCCCATTTTATTATGCAAATGCTATTGAACGCGATAAGGATCCTAATAAAGCATTACCTTCGGCTAGTTGGTATGAAAACGATTTTAATCTTTGATCGATCCAGAATTCCAATATATACCTTTTACTATCAGGGATTACACGGGTAATTTTAAATGACAATCATTATTCATCATTAGTCATCACGAGGCTTGTTTATAGGTAAAAGCTGCTAAGAAGATAGTTACCCATCACTTCAAGGCTTAATCTATTTAATAATTATGCTTTTTTTTTTTTTAATAAACACTTCAATATAAGCAAATATGTAAGGTAAAGGTATAAGGTCTCATAAACATTACACTATTTGCTAGGTATATGAATTAATTTTCATGGTTTCATTTTATATTTCATTAAAAGTATTGTTTTTTGCTTGCTTCACCATTCTAACGAATCCTAACCGACTTAAATCAGAGCAATCCTTTATCTTCATCATACGCTCGTATCACTCAATGAAATATTAACACATTTTTCTAGCGACCTTCAAAATTACGAGACAAATTATTGCTTCAAACTGCTGCCAAAACTCTTTCAATACTAAAGCGCATTTACAGGAAGTATGCTCCAGCCAACAAAAGGCAGGATTCAATGTTCGAATCCATTTAAACTCATATACTCTTGGGTTAGTTTAAGGAAAGAAAGCGCACATGACAACCAAAGATGTTTGGAAACGAAGTATTGCAGAAGATATTGGATAAAAACCTTGACTGCTAATTATAGATGAAAAACTTTAATTGTTTAAACTTAAAAACTCTGCTCTATAAATTAAAAATGAAACATTGTTTAAATTGCATTTTAGATTACATGAGATGCGTCCAATGGTAGATTCGTTACGATAATCCTAAAGGTAAAATTTTACCGCTTAGTAATAGAATACCATATAATGCATGACCAACAATTTCTAAAGATATAAATGATAAAGAAATGGACAATGCCAGGGTACATAACGCTTGAATTCGATGGTTTTGACCTTCTTTTATCTAAAATAGCAGTTTTCCATTTAACATTATTGATTTATTCGGCGTACGTCGACGCTAATCATGGACGGCTCAAAACTCTTCTTTTTCATTACTTTTGTTGTTTATTTGAAGAAATCTGCTGCCGAAGCCCACCAAGCACATTCAGAGGCTTATGGTCTAGTCTATCACATCCTATTTTTGGGTCCAGGTTTTAAGGATTTGAAATTGGAGACGCGAAGTGATTGAAAATGCCTCTCTTGCAGCTCGAATAAGAAGTTTTGCCCCACCGAACGTACTCATCACGCATGGCGCTTTCTGATTACCACTTGTTCAGATTAGTGCACCAAGGCTAAGCTGGCACGGTGGTCTGCAAAGTTGAAAAAATGAGAAAATGGGTCGGGGGGTGGATCGTTGCCAAACGTTCTTTCGACGTGGTATCGTCATGTTGCCAGGAATACAGTAAAATGTTATGGAAAATGACGGAAAACATTTTGGTTAATATACATTGTTCCAATTTTTCTCAATAAATGTCTTTTTCAAGTGAAAAATTGATCAATATTTTTGCAAACACCTAATATTACGAGTTTCTCGAATATAGTAGTGTAATCAGTATCGAATAGTGTAAAGAAATATTGTTGCAACTGGACCCGGAATGGAAGACAAGCTGTTTGTAATGTGCAAAAAATTACGATAAACGGATTCTCCAGCGCGACAATTTTCGGTTGTATGCTGTCAAGCCTGTCGGGAGAACACATCAACCGTTTGAATAAAAGATCCTGTCCCAGTTGTTCTGCAAATATTAAATGCAATAAGAAATAACTCCGTAGTGGCTGCTTTTAATAGAATAGCAAACCTTTTGTTCGTATATTTATTAACTAAACTAAAAAAAAAACTTGCGATTAATGATTGTAACATTTTTTCGGAAATACAAAGCAGTAAGAGCTTTGCAAAAAAACAAAGCAGAAAGAATGGAAATTTATTCACTTGTTCAATACCTTGGGCCTGTAAAATTGTCATATAAATCTATTTTCTATGGAGCGCTAAATAAAAATGAATTTATATGCGATTTCCAAACGCAACTATTGCTTTATACAACCTTTTCACAGCATAAATAGAACCAAATAAACACAGGTTAAAACGTTATAGTCTGGTACGGAGAACCATTACGTGGACTGCATAATGTCGTGGCAACTTTTTCAAAATACGAGGGTAAATGAGATGCAATCCGTTTCCAGTAAAGCTTGTTCCTGCACCCTGTAAGCTGAATACAACACTCTTGTACGGACAACAGACCGACAGAGGAGTTTAAATCGATTAAGAAAATTATTCCGAATGAATAGCATAAAGTGTGACTATCCCAAGTAGTATCGTACATTAAAAAGCAAAATGAACAAATAAAACGTGTGACTTTGAAATCCATATATTAGCATATCCAATACAATGAAAAATTTATACGTTTTCCGGTGACGGGTAAAATTAAATTAAAAAATGATAGGAGCTTCAATAAGATGTACAATTTTAAGGGCTTTCAATTTACTAGCTGCTGCACAAATAGCCAAAGGGCATGTGGAACGTGGTTATGCTGTCGTCGGGTCTTGGGAAGATACCAATATAACTTTAGGAGTCTTTGAAAATTACATACCACGCTTCTTTTGCGCTGCCAAAGTGATTTATGAAAGTAAGTTTCAACTTTCTGACACAGTAAAGTTTAAAAGTTGATGTCGTCTTCAAAATTTTTATTACACAGTGCATGAAGAGCATATATCAAATCGTAATAGAAATAAACGTAAGCCCCAAATTGATGATGATGTTAAGGCCACGATACGTCGTAACTTTACTTATGAATATGAATTTTATTACTTTTGTAACCAAAGTATATATAAACAATACCTAGCAATAAATTTGATAAAATTGCAAGCAAAAAAAAACACTTTTATTTAAAATTAAGTAAATTTTTAACATAAATTATTTTAAAAAGACAAAAAATAAACAGTTGAGGTTTTTAAATGACAAGACAAAAAACTCTTCCTTTTCATAAAAAAAAAAAATTAATAAAAAAAAAAAGATAAGCGCATGTTTCACATCGACCAAAAGTCATTAACCAACATGTTACTAAAAGAGAGAAAAAAAATTCAATTTACTTCCTTCGAAGATAGTCTGCATTATAACGTTTAGTACCGTTTATATTAAGCAACCCTGCTAAAACAGTAATACATAAATACGGACATTACTTTCCTAATTGTTTGCTCGGCTTATAATAAAACAATTTTTGAAAACGTTACGATACAAAAAGGAAACGCAGAACATACTGGTGCTTGAAAACACGCAAGTATTCAGAATATTCAAATTCATTCATATCGACCTCACGCGCCCATGCATTCAATTTATCCACGATAATTGCGTCGCTAATTGACGTTATCTCTATTATTAGGCTGATAATATTCTTTGTAGAATGCCTAATGTTGGTGTAGTAATGAAAATGCACAAAGGAGGAATATTAAACGATAAACGTAACTGAAATTGAGCTAACCTTATTCTCACAAAAAACCAAAAAAAAAAAGAAATATTAGAATTTACGATTAATATCGCCTACAAGTTCATATGTAAAGCTCATATATCTTCTCTCACTTAAAGAAAATGAAAAATATATATTTAATAGAAAGTCCAACAGATCGTTTATAGATCTTACGTGTGGATGTGCGTGCATGCTGTATAGTTATTGTTCATAACGAACAGTGACAAATAAATCGATAAAGAAAATGGCACAAATGCAGCATTTTTCTAGCATAAGAAAATCGCACGACATAAATCCAATGAAATGCTGATCTCTTGACCAGAGGAATGAAAACCGAAATTAAAGCTTGTTATATGTTTTCAATTTTGTTTTATTCTCTATTTTTTTATATTAACATATATTAGACACTATTAGTGTTTAAAGTTTTCTAAAAATACAACAACAACAATATTAAGAAAATACCATAAAATGGTGCAAACAGTTATATCAGTAATTTATCGATAACAAATCTTGACATTTGCGAGCAAGTTTCTATTGTTTAACAATTACAAATGATGATGGCGACTTTCTTTTCACACTTGTGCATTTTTCAAAAATTAATTGGTAATTATTCAATTTTCAAATATTTTTCAAAGGATTTACGAAAAAATTCATGCTTCACAGAATAAGAACTAATTGATGATTACATGACGGGCGAAAAGAAAAAATAATTATATTAAATGAGAGAGCCCAATAATCTTTAAAATTAAGAGCGCGAATGGAGAGAGGCGATTTAAAAATATTTGTGTTCGACAAAATCGTTAAATCAGATTGAAAAAAGTAACATACATATCAATCGACCGACATTAACTATCGTATTGAAATACATAGATACTGAACTTATTTGAAAAAAAAAAAAACTATTTCCTGTTTCTATTTCTCTTCTGTATTCAATCCATTCAGATGCAATCATTAAACGTCTATGACTTGAATAATACCCGCAAAGCTAAAATGGAATTGGTATTTTTCAACCGAGTGCCCAAAGTTGGTAGCCAAACATTTATGGAACTTTTGCGTCGTTTATCTGAACGTAACAATTTTCAATTCAACCGCGACGCGGTACAAAAAGTTGAGACCATACGTTTGGCTGAAGATCAACAACAGGAAATGGCCGAAGTTATTAGCGATTTACCAGTACCTTCAGTGTTCATTAAACATGTTTGCTATACAAATTTCAGTAAATTCAATTTACCTATACCCATCTATATAAACGTAGTACGTGATCCCGTGGAACGTGTAATTAGTTGGTTTTATTACGTAAGAGCACCGTGGTATTTTGTCGAACGCAAGGCAGCTTTTCCCGATCTACCGCTCCCGCATCCTGGCTGGTTGAAAAAGGATTTCGAGACTTGCGTTCTTTCCGGAGATCAGGAATGTACTTACACACAAGGTGTTAGTGTCGAGGGTATTGGAGATCACCGGCGACAAAGTTTATTTTTTTGTGGTCACGCTTATGAGTGCACGTAAGCGCTAATATTAGCAGTACATACTAATCACTTTAAAAAAATGTTTCTTTTGTTAATTTTTTAGGCCTTTTAATACGGTGGGTGCATTAGAAAGGGCCAAGCATGCCGTAGAGAGTCAATATGCAGTAGTAGGAGTTTTAGAAGATCTGAATACTACCTTAGCAGTCTTCGAAAAGTATATACCGCGTTTCTTTCAGGGCGTACGGGAAATCTATGACAGTAAGGTTTCTAAATATAATAAAGGCATATATAGCATTTGTATCATTATTTTTTCTTTTGCTTTTTTTTTTTCTTTAGCAAGCGCCGAATATCTAACAAAAATTAATAAAAACAATTTTAAACCACCTGTTAGCGAAAAGGTGAAAGACATTGTACGACGTAATTTTACCAACGAAATTGAATTCTACCAGTTTTGTCGACAACGTTTACATAAACAATATTTGGCGGCTCATTTGGCACAAAAACATCTACCTTAATTTTCTAAAAGAGATACGAAAGAATAAAAAATGCGTTGCTTTTTCGAAAGCAAAATATATTAAATATGTAATTTGTAATATATGTATGTAATTAGTTATAATTTAGAATTAGGCTTTATTTCGTTGTGTTGTTTAATTTTCTAGGCTTTTATTTTATAGGGGTCTGCACATAACAGTATATTGAATCATTTTCTAGACATTCGCTTCCTTTTTTTAGCTTTGACAACATAAATAATTGTCCACTAAAATTTGAATACAACTTAAATCAAATAAAATAAGACAAGCTTCTTAAAAGAAGTTTTTACTTGCCCTGAATTACGCTCACTCTACGCCTTTATGCCTCTCTTAAGCTGTTGGGGTCTAACTGCACTTCAACCCCAATATGAACAAGAAAATTACCAATATCTTCGAAGTCTGTAGAAATATCTTTTCACGTTCAGCACACATTCTTTTCCGTTCAAGTGACGAAATGGAAGCTATTGCAAACAACAAATCGTGCCTTTCATGTTTATCTTCACACGTTATTTTTTTTATTTTACTGTTATGTTGCCACTGCTATTCATACACCAAAAGTCGCTATATAAGCGATGTATACTAGGGTGACAAACACGACCGTTAACAGACCAATTACAAGAAAATCGTAATTTACTTTCTAATTATGTACTTCACCATTACAAGATAGTAATCTCTTACAATTGGTTCTGACCTGAACAAAATAGGGCGCCTGTGAAAAGACAAGATATTCCCTAGTTTTGAAATGTCATAGTTACAAAAAAAAGAGAAACGAAAACAGAGAGACAAAGGAGTTGCGGAATTTTAAGATTCACGCTAAGACGAATCTAATATTCTTATTATTAGTTATTTGTTTTTTATATTTGTAAAAAAAAAAAAAAAAATTGCACATATTCAGTATTTTTATGAAAAAATTTAACAGCTTTAGATTTGTTGGAGCTTAGAAAAAATGAGACTTTAAACTGTTATTAATGAAAATTAAAAAAGAAAATAGTTATTATTTTATACTAACAGTGATCTCCTATTGTTACGTATATCTTTCTTTTTTTTTTTGCTTTTGTTAAATGAGTTATTATTATTTAATATTTAACAGCCGATGTTACTATTACAAAATTTTTACAATTCACTATATTAAGTACGAATAGTAAAATGAATAAATAAAACAAACAAATATAACATGTATACATAAGTGTCGGCAGTTTTTTACATTTAAACATATTGTAACTATAAAACACACATCACAGCAGAACACGCCGACCGATCGTATAAAGACATGAATATAAAAATGTGTCCCTCTTAATAATTTTGTGCTGGCGCAAATAACGTAGAAATCGCACTTTTTACTTCTTTGTGGCATTGTCTTATCGTAAGTTAAATTTTGTTTAAAAATGATTAAGAAAATGTTCACGTCCTTTTCTCAAAGTCACCTGTGTAATATATAATGTTATCCCTGGAAGATAATTTTTTCTTAAATTTCAATTTTTAAAAAAGAAAAATGTAGTGAATACCTTTCCGAGCAAATAAAATTAATCCATTTTCTTAAGGGATAGGTTTCATCAATTGTCGTATCGATTGTCCCGCGACTGGAAGATATTGAAAAAAATTAATAAAAAAGTTTCAGGAAACAATGAATACAAATTTTATGACCACCAACGAAATCGAAACGGGCGTTAAGTTTACCATTGCCGGAAACGCCCAAAAATCCTTGTACTCAACATTTACTTACTAATTGCAATCTAATTGATGTCAGATGATACGTTTGTTGTCTATTTTTAAAATTCCTTCTTTCATAAAGGGAGTATGAAATTTGTAAAACAAAGTCTAAAAGTTAAACAGACATTGAAAACTGACGCAAAATCGTCAATCGCATATATCTAGATTTACTGGAACACTTAAAACAATTGCGAAAATTCGGCGATAATATCAGCGTAAGATAGCGGAAATAAAAGACCCACCATAAAACGAAACCTTTCTTTCTTTCACTTACTTTGGATACAAACATATTTCATCTTTGGGGAAATACTCTAAAACCCGTTCTATATGAATGTATTGGCAATCACGATATGAATCGATTAAGCAGCGACAAATAGATTGGAACTCTCTCCAAGATACTTCTTTGAAGGTCGTAGATTCATCTAAAAATCTGGTTAAATCATCATCTTTGATGGCTGCGATTACTTCCGCATCAATAAACTTTAAAAAATTCTTTATCTCATAAAATTTTTCCAAATCATTAGAGGTGTACTTCCTTCCAATAATTTTTCTTAATATAGCATTACGCGTAATATTATATGTTTGGCTGTAATAATCCTTGTAAAAAGTCCAACGTGCCGTAAATAGTTGAATAATCTTGTGTGTGTCAGCGCATGAGTATTCGACATGGGCTCCATCTTCGCTAGCACGAGAATTCAAGAATACTTCATCAAAATTTATAAGCGACAGTTTGCCAAACAGATGTCCATCACGTTTCAGATAATCCCATTTATCGACATCGATTTGGCAAAACTTATTGCTAACAATCTGGAAATTTTTAACGGAGAGTAGCATTCTTATAACAAAAGGTATACAAACGTAAACTTACCTCAAATATGAAGCGATATTCATTGGGCAGCGAATGTTTAAAATCTTTACGGTGACCAGTTATTAAGGATTTAATTAAATCAATGCCGCGATTATTGTTTTCACGTAGATGGGCGAAAATTTGTGGACATTCGGCAAATATCTTGTCAATCAGTTTCCCGCTCATCGTTTCATGGTTATAATCAGGATCAACGTATTCCCAGCTATGCGAAAACGGTCCATGACCAATATCATGGAGGAGAGCAGCTAGCTAAAAACTCAGATTTAATGAAATCTTTTTCTAATTCCATTTTTGAAAATATCACACATACTAAGACCGCATCTTTATAAATAGAAGGAATTTTGCCTTCCGGCTGCATGGCCTTGATCCATATTGTGTTTTTTTCAATGGCATCTAGCGTTAAGAGAGCTGTGTGGTAAGTGCTACAAAAGTCAAAAAAGAAAACATTGTTAAAGTATTTTTTAAAAAAAGTGTAACACAATATTCAATCTAACCCAATCGAATGATTGTAGCGATTATGTGCAATTATCCTATCATTCGCTTTGTAACCAAGTTTCATAAAACCAAGTTGACGTATTGACTTTAGACGTTCAAAGATCGGAGTTTCGACAATCGGCTTGACATCCATCGGTAAAACTATTACACCATGTATCTCATCTAATATTTCCATAGTCCCAACTTAATTTTTAAATATTGTATTCTCACTGAAAAACAAATCGTCTAATTTTTATTTTTTTATTTTTCGATGTCAAGATAAGAGAGACTAGGCCAATAAAAAAAAATTGTATAATATTAATCAACCTATTTTTTCTCTTAAGAAAAAATTATTGCTTATCATATGTTTGGTGTCAAATTTATTATTGTATTTTTAAGACAATTATTTCAAAGCCAAACTGTTCATAACCTATATATGTCAAACAAGTCATATGAGGGGCATTAAATTTGAGAGGCTTTCAAAAATTTGCTTTTTTAATACAATGGTCAATGTTGAAACAGTTAATGAAGTTTCGCAAATTTCGAATACAAAAATATTTAATTAAAATATAGGAAAACAGTTGAGAAATTAATTCACAAATTTGTTTGAATAAATGTGCCATTTATTTAGAATTTCTTCGCCAAGCGCATATAGCAAATCCCATTCCCCCATAAATATAATGCTAAAGTTAACAAAGCTCTCTCATTTTATCCGAAATATTTTTATTTATATAAAAATGAAAATATCTTTACAACACCACACATATTGATAATCAAACGGAAAATGATTTTTAGCTCTCCTTGTTATTAGTTAAAAATAATGACTGCATATATACCAAGTAAACAAAAGTCAGCTGTTACGATAAATAGTTTAACGTTATAACATTCCCTTCTGATCTGCCATATAAGCGAAAAGATAAGCCAGAGAGTATGGCAAGCGGAAACACAAAAGTTTGAAACAAAAATTGGAAATATTGCCAGCCCTACCGATTTAAATAAAAAAAGTGATTCAAATGGAACTGATAACACGTAAGTGAAGAATTTTTCATAAAATATGAAAATAATATCATTTCTGGTACAACAACGGAAACTCTATGCAACGCCTAAGTAAGAATTATCGCCCCTCTGGTATGGATAGCCGCCGAACCCCGAAAAATTCTAAGCGAAGGTAGGATGTAGGTTCTCCTTAAGCCATCACTCGCATCAATATTACCTAAAACGTATTCAAAACCCGCTTTTGATTCTCGAAAAATCTACCTGCAATACATTTTTTTTTATACACTTTGCCCATATATGTACAATCCATTTACTGACAAATTTTCGGGTGAAGTAAGAGGATTTGAAGTGTCCCGCACAGACCTTGTACATCTGACAACATTGCTTTTCCGCCAATTTCGTTGTTCCTCTATTGCCCAAATATAATATGAGCAATATATCACTATATATATATCGTATACATATATATATTATATATTATTTAATAATAACTTTTAATAAGATTTCACTCAGCTTTTTAAATCAATGATAACGACAGTATATGATGTTCTATGAAAAAATTGATGATGCAGAATCGATTACAAGCTTTGGCGAATTAAGAGTATTAATTAGACAATCAGGGTAAATAGAAAGAAAAAAAGAATTAGTTTACATACCTTTGACAAATTTAAAACTTCTTGTTTTGGTTCAGTTATTTGTAAGTAAACAATTTTGCTTATAATTTACGTTGTTATCAATGTGCAGCTGTTTTCTCTTATGAACGCAAGTCTAAACAAACAATTCTTAATCTAAAAAACCAAATTTACAACGTGGATTATACAACTTACGACTGATTTGGCAGCATTTCTTGCATCTAGGGTGCTTACATATTGTACAAAAACTCGAAAATGAAATCTATTTAACGTCATCCATAATTAGTGCCAATATTTCAAATACAGATCGAAAAACAAAATATGAATAATAACGATAACATTAAAATGTAATATACACGATATAAGCGAAATGTACCTAATTCAAAGCCTCTTAAGATTCTTAGTATATTGTAAAATTCATTTTGCAAGTTTAGACTCTAAAGAGCGTGGGTGATATATATATTTCGATCAGATTACCATCAAGTTTATATTTATATATTGTATATTAAAATATATTAATGAAATTCAAAAAAAAAAACTGCAAATCAGAAACAATATGAGAACTATTTTGAATTTTTTTGAAATGATTTCATGCGTGGCATATAAACAAGATCAGCCAGGATTATACTGAATAGTTTATGTTAAAGGAAGATAATTATGATAAATCCTTCAATTACTCTGCATCATTTTTGAATTCTTTCGCAAAAGATTTCATCCCGGTCACCTCAAATGAAAATGGTTTCAATACACTTGTCCTGGAACTACGAATTTGTAACATTTTTTAAAGAGGATAATAGCTATGATAATTCCTCTATATATTTGTAGATCTTGGAAAACTGTTTTGAATAAAAGATGAGAGTAACAATTATTTAATACTATGTTAGTTTAATCCAAAAAACGATATTCTTGTTGCCATTGAGAAAGATCTGTTCAAAATTAGCTTCAAAAAACCTGTAAACGATTAAAATTTAAAAAAAAAAAAGAGCATATTACTTATTTTGGTATATGCAGGTATACGATTTTATTTAAGTTCTGAATATATCTAGCAAGACTTGAATAAGTAAGAAATGGGAGTAACTTCCTTTTCTTACACATTACTATTATCATTATTTCTCTTTTGATACCATTTTTCTTTATTCGTATTTATCTCTCGTTCGTACTTAAAATGATTGGAAACGGTTTCATCTACCATCTCGTTAGACTTGTCATTTTGAAGACTTCACATGTATATTCGTTCCCTAAATTCCTTCTCTTGTATGGTCATAATTGGAAGACATGATTGTCTAATTCTTCATACGGTAATAAGAGCGATAATCACGTAAATGAAAGTTGCTTTTCATTTTCGAGCGAGAGTTAAACTTATATAGTTTATTCTCAAGTTATGCAAGAGCGATAACTCTATAATCTTTGATTTCACAATACATAATAAATTAGGTTGCAGCAAACATAATTGAAATAATTCTAATTTACAAGTTTTTTTTACAAAAGTTTCTACACAAATGAGCCATTTATTACGAATGTGAAGTTTAGATTTCACACAAGTGCATTATCGTTTGCCTCAAAGTGTCTCATTATGGAAATAACTTAATAAAAAATTAAATGTGAAAAGAAATATTAACCCCTTTTGAATCGAAAGCCATGTGTTTCCTTTGAAATTGTTGAAACAATAGCTAAGACGTTTGGTGACCCTATGCCACGTCTAACGATAGAAGATAGCAAGCAATGCTAAGAAGTAGAATGCTGTCCGAGGACAGAAAAAATGGAACATTTGCTTATAAACACATTCAAAAATATTATTTAATCTAAACTTTTTATAATGTATTAACATTTCTGCTAATTAACTTATTTTATTATTTCAAAGCTGAAGGAGTTTGGATAGATGCTTCTTAGTTTTCCAGGACTATCAAATGTTTTTAAACTTTACGGCCTATCGAAAAGTTATTAATTATCATGGAACTTTTCGCAATTTTTAGTTTATATAAGAAATATTTATTTTCGATTCTTTGGAGAAAATAGATAAACAAATGGAAAAAAAAATTTGAAAAACTTATTAAATGATTATGAAAATATATCCTGCATATCGAGTAAAATAACTTATCATCATTTCATTAATTCATTTTACTAATATGTTAGCTTATGTAGAATATTCTTCTGAAAGATGCTAGTCCAAGATAAGGCTTTCCAAAGAGGGCAGTTTTTATGCGCTTTTACTGGCATAGCTAATCTTGGTTAAGCATAAATAAAATTTAGCTATCGGCACAGCTGGATTTTCTTTAAGCGTCTAGGCAAAGATCCTGTTGGAAGTATTTAGTTTCATCCTTTATATTAAAATAGATAACATTATCACTGAAAATATTTATTTATTATACCGTTTGCTTATTGCTAATAAACGCAGGAAAAATTACCTCTCCGAGCAAACAAAATTAATAGTTTTTTTTATAAAAATCGTTTCATCACTTATTGTATCAAAATTACCCCGACTAAAAAAAAATGAAATTATGAGAAAAAAAAGGAATAAATGCAAATTGTTCAACTTACTCTGGATATAAGCACACTTTGTTTTTGGGGAAATACTTCGACACCGGTTGTATGTGAAAGGTTTCACTATCAGCATACGAATTAGGCAAACATTCGCAAATCGCTTTGAATTTCTTTGAAGGTATTTCTTTATATGCTACGGATTTATTGAGAAATCTCGTTAAAGAATCATTTTTGACCGCTGAGAGTATTTTTTCATCAATGAAGTTCAAAAAGGTGTCAGCTTGATAACACTTTTCCAATTCACTTAACGTAAAATTTCGTCTAATAATTTTCTTGAATATAGCATTGGAAATGATGTTATGAGTTTGACAATAATAGTCTCTATAAAATCTCCACCTTGTGGTAAATAATTGAATGATTTTATACCGATCAGAGCATAAGTATTCGATATGGTTGCCGTCTTCAGTGACGCGGGCATTCAAGAACACGTCTTCGAAATCGGTGAGCGACTCTTCTCCAAACACGCGTCCGTCACGTTTAAGATAATCCCATTTGTCAACATCAATTTGACAATATTTATTACTAACAAACTTAAAATATTCGATTTATTTGTGCATTTATTGAAAGCAACAAAAAAAAAGAAAAATTCAATTTACCTCAAAGATGAAACGATATTGATCCGGAAGGAAATGGGAGAAATGCTTACGATGACCAGTTATTAAAGCTTTTATTAAATCGATGCCGTAATTTGAATTGTCACGTAAATGAGAAAAAATTTCACAGTTTTCTGTAAATATTTTATCAATCAATTTCCAACTTGTCATTTCATGGTCATAGTTCGGATCCACGTCTTCCCAGCTATGCGAAAATGCCGCATGGCCTATATCGTGTAAAAGAGCGGCCAACTAAAGAAAGAAGATTTTAATGAATTTTTGCTCTCTTCAACCTAAAGTAAAGTGCATACCAAGACAGCGTCTCTGTACAACGCAGGAATTTTGCCTCCAACTTGATTACTTTTAATCCATTCTGTATTTCTTTCACTAGCTTCTATAGCTTTTAAGGCCAAATAATAAGTTCTGAAATAACCATTAGAGAGCAAAACGTTGTTAAGAAAAAAAGGAAACAAAACAAATCTTTTATAGACGAATATCTTACCCAATGGAATGTTCATAACGGCTGCATTCAATTATTCTATCATCCATTTTAGAGCGGAAGTTAAGGAAACCTAATTGACGTATCGACTTTAAGCGTGCAAAGAGAGGATTTCTTATAATTATGCCAATGTCTTCCGGTATAATTATTTTACCGTGCACTCCATCTGATATTTCAAGGGGCTAAAAAAACTGACATATTTATATTCTCCTATCTAATTAGTTACTAAGTAATGCTAACAAATTGTTGACGTTCAACATAATTGCAATTTCTTCCTCGCGTTTAGTTTTTCTCTTAGTTGCTTTGATTTTGCATTTATGCATAGTACCTTTCCAAAGGCGTTCACTATAAGAATAGAAGATTCAATAAACCTTTACATTTAAACATATATCTCTCTCCCTCTAAAGTATATTAATACTAATATAGCTGAGATGTGCACAATTTTTGAATATACGGAAGAACATTCCATTATTTCTATCTAAAACACGGTCTTATCGACGCCAATGTTTATAAAAGCCTTTAAAATATAATTCGTGTAGAAAAGTTCTATTTGTTCTGATGTTCACAGTTAATAGAAAATCCATCATTTGAAGCTTTCTTAAGAGAACAGTATTTAAAATTTAGTCAAATTAATTTTTTATACCCACCACCGAAGGATGAGGGGTGCATTTATTTTGTCAAAATATTTACAGCGCTCAGAAGGAAGATGTAGACACTTCTATATTCTTAATCAACATCAAATTTTAAGGTGATTTAAGCATGTCCGTCTGTTCCTCTGCCTGTCTGTCTGTCCGTGCAACGTCTGTGGTATACCCTCCCCAGTTCACAAAAAGCTATCGGTTTTAAACTCGGCAGAAACATTGAAAGGATACAACCACAGTAAAATATAATTTGAGAGCACCTCTGTTTTCAAAAAACAAGGCAATTTCGTCTTGTGGGCGTTGCTTATAAACCGAAAGAATCGGCCAAGTTTACACAAAGTTATAAATGGTCTTTTCAATTTTTTGATGCTTTCTGCTTATTACTCATAAGATAAACGAGACAGAAAGCTCACCTGACGATATATTATCTGACTAAAAATATGTTAATTCTAAATTCAATATAACGGATGTCATGACGGTATACGACGGATAACGATCGTGGGTATAAAATACTCGGTTGCGGTCGAATATAATTTTTTTTTCTGTTAGCTTTCGTATATTTGTACATAAAACGGTCGTAAAGTAACTTGTAATGCACATATGTTTGTTTTCATTCATATAAATATCCGTTTTTTGAATTTTACAAGGACGGAATAATTGTAAAATTTTGAAATGTGAGTCCTAAGTTGTTAATTTGATCTGCCAACAAATATTTTCATTTATCACCGCCATATCTTGCCTAACAATAATCGATATATGTATGAGATAGAGCTGAGAAGCTGGTCAAAAAAATGAATAAATTAACTAATAAATTCAGTAAAAGTCCTGATTGGTTTTACGTTAACAAGACAGAAGGACTTAATAGAGACGCACCTTTTATTATGTTGATCGATTTAGAACGATTTTCTAAGCTAGTCTGCCCGTCTATCTGCCTGTCCATGTAGATTTATTTTTAAACTACAGGTCACAATTTTTGAAATATATTGATGAAATTTTATACACTGACGTGACAAACGCTATTGAAAATGTTTCGGATCGGTCTGCTTTCGCGAGCAAAATATCGCGATTTTCAAAATTTTCCGATAGAACTCGCTGTGTTATAGTACTTTGATATTCTAAATTGGTATGAAAAATTTGATTCAGCTGTGGCAAACCGTTCCAAGGAAACTTGAATCTCTTTATGTAATAAATAGAAGCAATTTTCAATATTTCATAGTGAAAATTGGTTCATAATAGTAAATTGAGATAGAAATCAACTCTACCGAATTCCGACCGGGTAGATCTATTTTTTGGATATCACCGTATATAAGCATTCTCAGGAAGTGTAAACACTTTTATACAAAAAAGGACGAATTGTTAATGTTTTATGATGTAAAATTTATTCATAATAGTAACTTGAAATAAAAATTAAATAGGCCAAATTTAAACCACACGGGTATATTTCTTGGACCATACTCCATGTAAGACGAAAATTGGTTCCTAGTGGCAATTTGGTAATAAAACTAAGGGCAGCGAATTTAAATCACATAATTTCAGTTTTTAGTCTCTGATATATATGAGCGTTATCATGAAAAGCAATGGACAAAAAGGTATGCAGCGAAAGTACAATTTCTAGCTTTCTATGACCGAAACTGAAAAATAATAAAATTTTTACGAAGTAAATTAAGTTTGGTTAACTTAATGACGGGAGCATGAACTATTTTATTTGTAAATCCAGTAAAACGTTAGGGTCGTGGGCTGAATTTCAGTTTACCTCAATTATATAAACTTTGCCATTCACTTACCATTTCAAAATGAAGAAAATTTTGAGAGCACAATTATGATGGCAAAATATTTCCAAATAAATTTTTTAGCAAAACATTAACGAAGAGCTCGATTGTGTTTTACCAATGATTAAATTTGTTTACAATGAACAACGTTTTCCGAAGATTGACTAATATACGCCGAAGTGTATTGAGCCACTGAAGCATTTGTTTGTTTCAATTCTTCATCGCTAACTCAAAATGACTATTTATGTTCACGTGTATTTGTCAGCCGATACGTGTGAATCAGCAATAAATTGATTTAATAAGATCTTCTCGACTCATTTGTGGAATTTTGAAGTCAACGTTCCATTTCGATATAATGTTGGATACACAATTGTTTGATTACATTAGCTTTTATTATGCATGCATTTATTATTCGATAAATGGTAGAAACTTGACACCAATTGCATAATAACGAAAAAATTCAACGAATGTAGAAATGAATAACAAAAGTTTTATTTCTTCATATAATGAATATATATGTTTGCATTGAGTACCGCAATGAAGATCTACTAAATAGGCTTAGAATGTTGAGTTATCAACCACCAATATGGTGGTTGAACGGCGTTGCCACTTGGGAGAAAATTGATGCTATCTCACTAGCTATTTACTTTTCACAATCATAGTAATCTCATTATTATTAGTTTACCAAGTTTTTGTTAAGATGGATAGCGCGATAAAATTCTTACAAAGCAAAGTATGAAGCAGTTTTTTTTAGTTTTGATAGAAAAAAAAGCGCTCTTGTTCCCGTGCTAACATTCTACTCGATGAAAATGGGAAAATCTAATTGAGTGTACATATATATATATATATATGTTGTCAGGACATTATAGACGGGTAAGGCTTAGCACTAAATACCCTACACCAGTTCGCCCAGTACAATTATTCACTCGTTTCGGTAACAGTACATCAAAAATTACACATTATTTGCATGCAAAGGCATACTTTTCATCAAAGCAATCATATTGAAGGATGTTTCCATCATATGACGTGATCCAAATTTTGCAGACTTACTTTACTTCCCAAAAATGTTACAATTTTTCAGTTTTTGTCATTAAAAGTTAGAAATTTTACTTTCTCTCCATATAACGGCTTGCTTTTCATGATAACCCCTATACATGTTAGGGTCTAAAAAATAGAATTATGTTATCTAAATTTACTGTCGTTAGTTTTATTGCTAAATTGCCACTATGAATCATTATATTCCCATTACAAAATATTAAAAATTAAAACTTTTTCCGAAGGGTTTACTATTTATGCAAAATCTTACGTGAGGTGGGGTCCAAGAAATAGTACCACATGGTTTAAATCAGGTCCATTTAATTTAATGTCAAATTAGTATCATAAACAAATTTTCTACATAAAACATTGACAATAAATGAAATGGCATATAAGAGTTTAAATGTCCTGAGAATCCTGATATACGGTGGCATGCAGAAAATATACCTACGTGGTCCAAATTCGGTAAGATTGATTGGTTTCTTAACTTACAGTTATGAACCAATTTTCACCATTAAATATTGAAAATGGGATGTTTTTCCCAAACAAAAATTCGGGTTTCGTGGGGATGATTATATGAGGGGGCGGTCACAAAATTACCCCAGTCGAATCAAATTTTTCATCCCAATTTAGAATGTCAAAATACTATTGCAAAGTGAGCTGTGTCGATAACATTTGAAAATTGCAATTTTTTCCCATATAACGGCTTTTCAAAATAAGGCATTATTTGTAGAGTGCTCGAAAGAGTGGAGCGATGCAAAACGTTTGTAGCACCGCTCGTCCTTCGATCAAAGGATATCATTGTATCAAATTTGGTGAAAATATTTCAAAAATTGTGGCCTGTACGCTGAACACAAGAACATATGGACAGACGTCAGATGGAAAGCCAAATATACGGGCAACCAAGTTCAAATCGGTATAATAAAATGAGGCTCCGTTCTAAGTTCTTCTGCAGTTTACGTATGTTGCGTAATAACATACACTGTACCACGAGTGGTGTAGGCTATAATGGAGTGGGGCAATTAAACATTTTTGATACAAGAAAAATACATAAAGAACTTCGTCATTTCTTCTTGGCCGCTTAAGTTGATATTTGAATCAGCAAAGCAAGTACCTTTTCCCATATTTCGACAATTTACTTGTTTCACTTCTTTTCAGTCTTTTCTTGTGCGAGTATAAAGCAACATTATAAAAAAACAAAGAACCGAAGGGAATTTATTACTACATAAACGTGAATATTGTATATGCAAAAGAAATAGTAGATCTTAATTCTTAGAAATGGTGTTTCGATTTCAGTTAAATTGATGTGGGCTAGACTCATTTACAATCACATCAATACATTTCTTCGTGTGTAGTGGTTTTACGAATAAGTTACTTTAGGATAACAAATAAAGACAACGTCGAACTATTTCTTGATGATCCTAGTTAACCCGGTTTGTTTATGTTATCATTGTCTAGAAATAGATATCTCCACACGCATTTTGCATCGCATTTGCGTGAGAGCGTGAGCATGGTACACTTGATTAAATTATTAAAAGCGATCTACTAGTGACTTCGTGTTCTCGAAATCATAACGATTTCCAATACAAAGACATTCCTAGCGCAACGATCATCATTGATTGAAAAGCTTGATGAATCAACAAAATTTTCGCATTATAGCAAAGAAAGCAGTGCGAAACTTTACAGTAAAAACAAAAATGAACTATACCCCTGACCGGTTCATAGCAGTTGAAAATCTAAATAACTTTGGCAGCGAAGTAAATGGCATGTCATTGAAACTATAATTGCTTAGCTGTGCAGAACGAAAACGATATCGATTCTTTGGGGGAGAAGCGAACCAGTAATAAAAAACTACAACTTTTATATATCCTCCCCTAAAGTAAAATCAGAGCAATAAACAAAAATTGTAAAATACTTTCGAGTATTTAATTTCGACTTTTACCCGAGATTGTACATACATATTTCACATATATCCGGGTAGAGGGACGGTTATAATGGCATCATATCGAAGCCCTAAGGCGATCGAGCATGTAGCATGTAAACCAAACGTAATGAGATTGAATTTATTTTCAAATAGTTGAGCTACGATATCGATGTGTATACTTTTTTTTTGGTAGGTTGGAACGACTATTGTGAGCAGCTGGCATAAATTTCAAAACGCTTGACCTATTGTATAAGTAATAGCACGGTCTTTTTGCCTTAAATAATATTATTGTCAGCGATTTTTAGAATGAAAAAATCTGTTGAATAATAAATTTGCACGGAATTTAGTCAAAAAAATGAAATGAATTAAAAATATTATAAAAGTGCTACGGTAATGACTGTAGATTAAGTTAAGTAGTTTCTTAGCGATACAAAATCATTTAATGAAGGTCGTGACGTAGTCGTGGACGAACCTCGTTCAGGAAGATCATCAATCTCAACTAGTGAGAGCTTGGGCTTATCAACTTGTCGATTGACTTAAGAAGGCCTTGTAGATACTGTGCCTATATTAAAAGCGTGAATAATTTGGACTTGTTTTGTCTGTCTTCCAAAAATTGTGCCTTCTGAGGGATAATGATCTAAACTGTATAATTACTGGTGATGAAACTTAGACTTGTGCTTACAGTTTAACAGTTGAATAGTGAATATCATGCTACAGATAAACCAAAAAAATTGCTGACAATAAAATTGATAGGATTGGAAAAAGAAAAAACGCTGCTATTAGTAACCCAACACGCGTCTTTAAATTTATATCAGCTTTTCACAACAGCTGTACCAACCCAGCAAGATAATAAACACATCGATATCACACCGCCGATATTTGGAAATATATACAACCTCATTCCGTTTTATCCGCAATAGTATGTAATTTATTTTACTTCGGAAACACAAGTATAGTACACTGTTGTCAATCTTTGGTACGTAAAAAATACCAAGAAATCGCTTGCAATCCTTAACGGAATTTCAGATTTTAGTGATATGAAAAGCAAAATATTTTTGAAGTGTAATCAAAAGTCCAAATGATGTTACTATTGTTTATATATACATACTGAAAACATACATGTCAACAATAAAGAATTTTTTCTGTTTTTCACATTCATTCTCTCAAAAAAAGTTTTGTTAATACCATTGAGATATTCTTTTTGCACACTTTCAATGTTAATACTTCTCTACGTGGTATATAGCATTTTTTCTAAAATAAAAAAAAAATAAAAAAAAATTAAAAAAAAAAAAAAAAAAAAACAACGTGATCTTAGCATAAACAACGATTCGCTATTAAAAGAAGATACGGAAAACTTACATTTCAGAGCAACAAAATTTTATTTCCTTCTTTAACAAATAACAATATTCTCACGACTGCAAGAAAATTAAGAAGTTAAGCTAAACACAATGCGAAATATTAGTAGCCATGATGGATAGACGCATACCTCGTTGGCTGGAAAATAGTCTGAAACTCGTCTGAAACACTACACCAAAGAGAACACTAAAGTCCAGTAATAAATAAGATTAAATGATAGCTTCCCCA